CACCACCACCCACCACCACCACCGCCACCCACAATCACCACCACCGCCACCCACAATCACCACCACCGCCACCCACAATCACCACCACCACCACCCACAATCACCACCACCACCACCCACCACCACCACCACCACCACCCACCACCACCACCACCACCACCGCCACCACCACTACCACCACCACCACCTCATTAGCAGCTAGTCAGTCACGGCGTTGTCGTCACGGAGGGTGACACACGTGGAGTGAGGAGTGATGGGGCGGCTGGGTCATCATCATCATCATCAGTGTTATCATCATCATCAGTGTTATCATCATCATCAGTATCATCATCATCAGTATCATCATCATAAGTATCATCATCAGTATCATCATCAGTATCATCATCAGTGTTATCATCATCAGTATCATCATCAGTATCATCATCATCATCATCATAAGTATTATCATCATCAGTATCATCATCATCATCATCATAAGTATCATCATCATCATCATCAGTAGCATCATCATCAGTAGCATCATCATCAGTATCATCATCATCAGTATCATCATCATCATCAGTATCATCATCATCCAGTATGATCATCATCAGTTTCATCATCATCAGTATCATCATCAGTGTCATCATCATCAGTATCATCATCATCATCAGTATCATCATCATCAGTGTTATCATTATCATAAGTATCATAATTTTCACCATTATCAGTATCATCATCAGTATCATCATCATCAGTATCATCATCATCAGTGTTATCATCATTATTAACCTCATTATCATCATAAGTATCATAATTTTCATCATCATCAGTGTTATCATCATCATCAGTATAATTATCATCAGTATCATTATCACCAGTATCATCTCACACAGAGACTCATAGACTCACACAGAGAGTCATAGACTCACACAGAGACCCATAGACCCACACAGAGAATCATAGACTCACACAGATACCCATAGACTCACACAGAGACCCATAGACTCACACAGAGACCCATAGACTCACACAGATACCCATGGACTCACACAGAGACCCATTGACTCACACAGAGACCCATAGACTCACACAGAGACTCATAGACTCACACAGAGACCCATGGACTCACGCAGAGACCCATTGACTCACACAAAGACCCATAGACTCACACAGAGACCCATAGACTCACACAGAGACCCATGGACTCACACAGAGACCCATTGACTCACACAGAGACCCATAGACTCACTCAGAGACCCATAGACTCACACACAGACCCATATACTCACACAGAGACCCATATACTCACTCAGAGACCCATAGACTCGTACAGAGACACATAAACCCACACAGAGACCCATAGACTCGTACAGAGACACATAGACCCACACAGAGAGTCACAGACCCACATAGAGGCGCATAGAATCACGGAGAGACACATAGACTTATAGACTCTCTGAGAGACCCAAAGACTCACACATAGATTCATAGACTCACACAGAGACCCAGAGACGCACAGAGTCATAGACTCAGACAGAGACTCATAGACGCACACAGAGACTCAAAGACTCACATAGAGAGGCATAGGTTCACACAGAGACCCATAGACTCACACAGAGAGACTCATAGACTCATAGATGTACTCATAAACCCTAACGTAGATTCATAGACTCACACAGAGATGCATAGATCCACATAGAGACCCATAAACTCACACAGAGAGACTCATACTCATAAATGTACTCATAGATCCACACGTAGATTCATAGACTCACACAGATCTGCACATATCCACATAGACCCAGGTATGGAGTTGCCAAGAAGATGAAACTTCCTAGATGGCTCCAAACGCTTTGGTGTAACCACATTGTACGCCTTCGATCCAAATTGCGTGCGACACGTGTTGACTATGGCTGGCTTGTGTGTGTTTGATGCTCCATGGATATTGTTGTGTGTGTCTCTCCTCCGCCAGGTCTAAGGAGACGTCTGCCCTGATCAAGGAGGCCTCCAGCTTAACACGAGGGCGAGGACGGGGTGGTGGTGGTGGTGGTTGCGGTGGTGGTTGTCGGTGGTGGTGGCTGTTGTTGTAGGTAGTGGTGGTGGTAGGTGGTGGTGGCTGTAGGTGGTAGTGGCTGTTGTTGTAGGTGGTGGTGGTGGTGGTATTTGTAGGTGGTGGTAGCTGTTGTAGGTGGTGGTGGTGGTGGTATTTGTAGGTGGTGGTGTTTGTAGATGCTGGTAGCTGTTGTTGTTGTAGGTGGTGGTGGTATTTGTAGGTGGTGGTGGTGGCTGTTGGTGTAGGTAGTGGTGGTGGTAGGTGGTGGTGGCTGTAGGTGGTAGTGGCTGTTGTTGTAGGTGGTGGTGGTGGTATTTGTAGGTGGTGGTTGTAGGTGGTGTTTGGGGTTGTTGTAGGTGGTGGTTATCTTTATATTTGGTGGTTGTAGGTGGTGGTTGTAGGTGGTGGTGGCTCTTGTTGTAAGTAGTGGTGGTTGTAGGTGGTGGTGGTTGTAGGTGATAGTGGCTATTGTTGAAGGTGGTTGTAGGTGGTGGTTGTAGGTGGTGGTGGTGGTTGTTGTAAGTAGTGGTGGTGGTGGTTGTAGGTGGTGGTGGTGGTGGTTGGAGGTGGTAGTGGCTGTTGTTGAAAGTGGTTGTAGGTGGTGGTTGTAGGTTGTGGTGGAAGCTGTTGTTGTAGTTGGTGGTAGCTGTTGTTGTAGGTGGTGGTAGCTGTTGTTGTAGGTAGTGGTGGTGGTTGTTAGGTAGTGGTAGCTGTTGTTGTAGCACCATGCAGAAGATTAGCTTCTACGACGTGGCACCACCAATCGGTGGTGCCTACACCTACCTCGGAGTGACCGCCACCGCCGCTGGGTTCGGCTTCGCATCCCATTCCGAGCCTCGCGGTCACAACGCCACCACCACCACCACCTCCTCCACCACCACCACCGCGAACTCAGCCAACGCTCAGCAAGAAGAACAGCAGCAGCAGCAGCACCATCAGCTGTCCTTGATGGCTCCCGACAGCCCATATTACGTGTCCGCGTGCTCCCTGCAAGAGGACAATCACTCGGCCGAGGTGGAGTTTGATGAGTTCGACCTCCCGCCCGGGTGCGTAGCCAAACTGCAACTGGGAATGCGGCCGTGCGACCTGCAGCTGCACCTGCAGCAGCATCAGCTGCAGATGCAGCAACAGGAGCCCATGTCTCCGTCGTCAAGTTCCGATGGCGATGGAAATCCGCGGAAGCCGCCAGTCGGGAGCGCTGCCTCGCGCGGCCCGTGTAGGCCCTGCACGACGGCTGCCGCGGATTTCACGCAGCAGATCTTCCCCTGGATGAAAGAGTCGAGGCAGAGCTGCAAGCACAAGGGCAAGGGTTCGTCTCCCGTTGCAGGTACGGGATGAAGGTGTGTGTCTGTCTGTGTGTCTGTGTGTGTGAGTGTCTGTGTCTTTGTGTGTGTCTGTGTGTGTGTCTTTGTGTCTGTGTGTGTGTCTGTGTGTGTGTCTGTGAGTGTGTGTGTGTCTGTGTTTGTGTGTGTCTGTGTGTGTCTGTGTGTGTGTCTGTGTGTCTGTGTGTGTGTCTGTGTCTGTGTGTGTGTCTGTGTCTGTGTGTGTCTGTGTGTGTGTGTGTCTGTGTGTGTGTCTGTGTGTGTGTCTGTGTGTGTCTGTGTGTGTGAGTGAGTGTGTGTGTGTGCCGGTGTCTGTGTGTGTGTGTCTGTGTGTGTGTCTGTGTGAGTGTGTATCTGTGTGTGTCTGTGTGTGTCTGTGTATGTGAGTGTGTGTGTGTGCCGGTGTCTGTGTGTGTGTGTCTGTGTGTGTGTGTCTGTGTGTCTCTGTGTGTGTGTGTCTGTGTGTGTGTCTGTGTGTGTGTCTGTGTGTCTGTGTATGTGAGTGTGTGTGTGTGCCGGTGTCTGTGTGTGTGTGTGTCTGTGTGTGTGTGTATCTGTGTGTGTGTCTGTGTGTGTCTGTGTATGTGTGTGTGTCTGTGTATGTGAGTGTGTGTGTGTGTATCTGTGTGTGTCTGTGTATGTGAGTGTGTATCTGTGAGTGTGTATCTGTGTGTGTGTCTGTGTGAGTGTGTATCTGTGTATGTCTGTGTGTGTCTGTGTATATGAGTGTGTGCCGGTGTCTGTGTGTCAGTGTGTGTGTGTCTGTGTGTGTGTATCTGTGTGTGTGTGTGTCTGTGTGTGTCTGTGTATGTGAGTGTGTGTGTGCCGGTGTCTGTGTGTGTGTGAGTGTGTATCTTTGTGTGTGTCTGTGTGTCTGTGTATGTGAGTGTGTGTGTGTCTGTGTGTGTGTGTGTCTGTGTGTGTGTGTGTCTGTGTGAGTGTGTATCTGTGTGTGTGTCTGTGTGTGTGTCTGTGTATGTGTGTGTGTATGTGCCGGTGTATGTGTGTATGTCAGTGTGTGTGTCGTGTGTGTGTTTCTGTGTGTGTCTGTGTGTGTGTGTCTGTGTGTGTGTCGTGTGTGTGTTTCTGTGTGTGTCTGTGTGTGTGTGTCTGTGTGTGTGTGTCTGTGTGTCTGTGTGTGTGGGGCCTGACCATCAGCCCCACCAAAACTAAGCACCTGCCTGGGTATTTTGTACCATCGGACACTCCACCCCCACAACTCCCAATCGGTGATTGGGCAGTAGTGGAGAGAGTGGAGAGTTTCCCATACCTGGGCAGTGTGCTTATGACCGGCTCCAGTTTAACAGCAGAGGTCTCACTCCGAATCAGTCGAGCGGCAATATCTTTTCATCGGTTGCGTAACGCTGTGTGGAAGCTACCTGGTCTGTCGCTCCGCACGAAGCTTCAGGTCATCTCGGCCACAGTCATTCCCTCCCTTCTCTACGCTTGCGAAACGTGGACCCCTCAAATGGAGCATTTTCGCCGGTTGGAAGCACAGCAAGTTGGCACAGTAGGGGGCGCTGTCTTTCCGACAGACCTGTTCTTCACCTGAGGACGGCTGCTTGCGTTGTGGCCGAAACGTCGTGAGAATTATTTTATTATGTTTTATTTTCATTATTTTATTATTTCCCTTCTACGTGATGACTTTACCGAAAGAACCAAGAATCTTCACAGCCCATATTGTCATCATCGTCATCGTTCATTTATTAATTCCCTGGGGCATTGCACCTCATTCGGATACTTACAAATCAGTGATCCACCGACCTACGCTCACACTGCTCCCGAATCTTCACAGCCCGTAATGTCATCATCATCATCGTTGATTTATTCATTCACACGGGCATTGCACCTCACTCGGATACCCACACATCAGTGATCCACAGACCCTCGGCTGCTACTGCTACCTCTGCAAGTGCCGAATTATTACGGCCCATATTGACATCATCATCATCTAGTAATAGAGTTTTACCCTTTCGACTGGTACAAAAACTGACACCTTTATACAAGGCATCATTTTGGCGTCATCTGGTCCAACACCAATGGAGACTAGGCTCTAAGAAAAGCTGTCTCGGGTGGGGACCAATCAACTTCAAGGACAGTGCATATCATTATCATCATCATCATCAGAGTTGTTTCTTTTTGTTTGCAATTTTTAAATCCTTTATATTAAGTTCACTTGCTTGCTTGCTTGCGCGCTTACGACCGTGCAAATCTTTCGGTCGTTTTTTGACCCACTTCCCGTGATCCAATCGAGCTGACATTTTGCACACAGACTCGTTGCGCGAGACAATTAATGTTCGTGAATTCTTTTTTCCATAACTTTACACTTTTAGGAAAAAATATATATTTAATTACCAATTGCTTAATGGTGGCAGGCAATCATCTGACCCATAGGTGGCAGCCATCTCAAGCCAGAGGACGAGAGGACTCTAGCCGCCACGCATATAAAGGATTTATAGTGAAAAACTTTGTTTTTACGGGTAAATTTTTACTGCTTGTGTTGTGGTTATTGCAAACATGATGCCTCGTATAAAGGTGTCAGTTGTTGTACCAGTTGAAAGGGTAAGAATACGATACCACCACCACCACAACCACGAACTCATCTTCCCCACAGGTCCCGACACCGCGGGCGCCAATGACAAAACCTCTTCCTCCTCCTCCACCCCCTCCTCCTCCTCCACCACCTCTTCGTCCACCACCTCTTCGTCCACCGCCGCAGCGGCTGCGTCCAAGCGAGCGCGCACAGCCTACACGAGCTCCCAGCTGGTAGAGCTGGAGAAGGAGTTCCACTTCAACCGCTACCTCTGCCGCCCGCGACGCATCGAGATGGCCAACCTGCTGAGCCTCACGGAGCGCCAGATCAAGATCTGGTTCCAGAACCGGCGCATGAAGTTCAAGAAGGACCAGAAGGTCAAGGGTTTCAGCGGTGGCTGTGTTGGTGTTGGTCCACTCTCGCCGTCGTGTGTCGGTGTGGGTGGTGGTGGTGGTGGTGTTGTGGGTTTGGGTGTGAGGCTGTCACCCCCTCGTACGTCACCGCTGGGGGGTCTGCCCGCCTCGTGCCACTTTGCCCTGGGGGGAGGGGGTCACCCGCTGCACACCTTCGACCACCGCTCGTCCCCACACTTTTTCGGCAAGAGCCACGAGACCGCTGGCAGCGCCGCCGCCGCCTTCGTGATGTCTCCCGGCTTCGTGGCTCACGTGGGCGACGGTGGTGGTGGCGGTGGTGGTGGTGGCGGCGGTGGTGGTGGTGGTGGATCTCCATCATCGCCATCGTCGTCTTCGTCGTCGTCGCTGATGCTCAGACGAGGTTACTCGGGCGGTAGTGGCGGTGGTGGCGGTGGCGGTGGTGGCGGTGGTGGCGGCGATGCCCCCAAAGGTCTCGTCAAGGGCCACGACTTCACGGCGCACACCGCCCGAGGGTTCGACGGGTGTCTGGGTGGTCGCTACCAACTCCAGCTGCCCGTCGCTGCGCACGGGGCCGCCATGTACGCGGCCATCGACCAGTACGTCAGTCACCACCACCAACAACAACAGCAGCACCAACAACAACAACACCACCAACAGCAACAACAACACCACCAACAGCACCACCACCAACAGCAACAACAGCAGCAGCAGCTGGAAGTTGCGAGCGCCAACAGACTGATGGTTTGCGGGACGGACTTTGGTTCTCAGGGTGCCGTGACCCCCTTTGGGTTCGGGGGGGAGGAGGCCCCCTGCGACGGCGAGGGGGTCTACCCCCCACTCGGGGTCCTGGGGCAGGGGGTGCCAGGGGGTCACGGGGTCATTCCAGACGTTCCGCGGCTGACACATTTGTAGCTGATGGTGATGATGTTGCTGATGATGATGGTGATGCTGCTGCTGATGATGATGATGCTGCTAATGATCATGCTGCTGCTGATGCTGTTGCTGCTGATGATGCTGTTGTTGCTGCTGCTGATGATGATGTTGCTGCTGCAGATGATGATGATGCTGATGATGATGCTGCTGTTTATGCTGATGATGCTGCTGCTGATGATGCTGCTGCTGCTGATGATGATGATGCTGCTGCTGCTACAGCTGCTGCTGCTGCTACAGCTGCTGCTGCTGCTGATGATGATGATGCTGATGATGATGATGCTGCTGCTGCTACAGCTGCTGCTGCTGCTGATGATGCTGCTGATGATGATGATGTGTTTGCTTTGTTGGGGGGCCCTGAACGATGATGGACACCGATGGGGCGAGGGGGGCAGGGGAGTTGTGTCGAGTGTTGTTGTTGTTGTGTCTGATCCCTTGAGTTCGTGGTTGCGGGGGGAGCGGTGGCGCAGCGGTTAGGGTCACCGCACCACGAACATCGGCAGACATCCCCCGGCTCACGGCCACCACCACCGCCACCACCGGTGACAGACTCTGTGAACCGGGTCCTCCCCCTAGGTCGACTCAGCCTCAAATGAGTACGGCGCGTGGCGCGGTGTGTACAAACCGCCACCGGGGAGACAAAGGCGGCCGGGCGTGGTCGCAGCACTTGCCCCAACGGCCTCTTGGAGGCTATGCAGGGGATCTTTGTCTGTTGTTGTTGTTGTTGTGTGTGTAACGCGTGCTTGCGTGCTGGTGACCGGGTGGGTGGGTGGCCATGTGAAAGGGGGCGGTGCTGGTGACTGAGTGGGTGGGGGCCATGTGAAAGGGGGCGGTGATGGTGACTGAGTGGGTGGGGGCCATGTGAAAGGGGGCGGTGATAGTGGCCAGGTGGGTGGGGGCCATGTGAAAGGGGGCGGTGATAGTGGCCAGGTGGGTGGGGGCCATGTGAAAGGGGGCGGTGCAAGTGACCGGGGTGGGTGGGGGCCAGGTGAAAGGGGGCGGTGCTAGTGGCCCGGGTGGGTGGGGGCCATGTGAAAGGGGGCGGTGCTAGTGGCCGGGTGGGTGGGGCCATGTGAAAGGGGGCGGTGCTGGTGACTGAGTGGGTGGGGGCCATGTGAAAGGGGGCGGTGCTAGTGACTGAGTGGGTGGGGGCCATGTGAAAGGGGGCGGTGCTAGTGGCCGGGTGGGTGGGGGCCATGTGAAAGGGGGCGGTGCTGGTGGCCGGGTGGGTGGGGCTATGCAAAAGGGCCATCATTATCGTTACAATGAAATATGTCAAAGTGCGGGGTAGCAGCGATGGGTTTTGTTCTCTTCGTAGCAATCGTCGAGGTCTACGTCGTGCGGGCAGCTTGTCCGTGTTGGCGGTTTCGATTCGTATCTCCCGGCGTGGCAGCTTAAATCAATGGGTAAAGGTGGGGGGGGGTGGTGTTGGTGCGTGTGGCGTGGTGGGGCAAAGTGTGGGGACCTCCCACGGCCACGGCTCGTGGAGAGGCCCCGCGGTGAGCGACTTGTTTTGGTTTTGTTGTGGGCGTATTTATTATTTATTTATTGCACGCGTACACTTGCAGGGTTTGAGGATTGTGCATCTAGCCGGGTGGGCGGTGGTGGCAGTGGTGGCGGCGGTAGCGGTGGTGGCGGTGGTGGTGACGGTGGCGGTGACGGTGGTGGTGGCGGTGGTGGTGGCGGTAGCGGTGGAAATGGTAGCGGAGATGGTGGTGGCGGTGGTGGTGGCGGTGGTGGTGGTGGTCACGGTGGCGGTGGTGGTCATGGTGGTCACGGTGGTAACGGCGGTGGTGGTAGCGGTAGTGGTGGTGGCGGTCATAGCGGTGGTAATGGTAGCGGTGGTGGTAACAGCGGCGGTGGTAGCGGTGGTGGTGGTTGCTTTGGTAGTGGCAGCGGTGGTGGTGGTGGTGGCAGCGGTAGTGGTAGCGGTGGTGGTGGCGACGGTGGTGGCGGCGGTGGTGGTGGTGGCTTTGGTAGTGGCAGCGGTGGTGGTGGTGGCGGTGGTGGTGGTTGCTTTGGTAGTGGCAGCGGTGGTGGCGGTGGTGGTGGCGGTGGTGCTAGGTAGCTACGCTGCTGCATGTGGCTGCCTTTGACCCGGCGCTGTGGAGGCGGCAGCAGTAGCAGCGAGGGTTGGTGGTTCACACACGGATCGTGTCCGATTCCCCTGTACTACCCCGCGGGTGGAGCTGCACCCCGGGCTCCACCAGGAGAAGGCTTTCGTGACTTATTTTTCAGAAGCGAGCTGGCCACAATTGATAGCTTCAACAAAGTCGCCCATCGCGTGGAAATTTTATAGCAGCCACATTTTCTAAATGGTCTTTTTGTAGTTGAAAAATAACAATGGGTTTTACCCGTTTTGGCAATTTAACAGGTGGTGTTAAGATGTTGAAACAATAAATACTTCTTTGCGAGGCATCGTCTGCGCTAACCACACACGCACCACTAGTTGTGAACTTGCAAACAAACAAATATAACACTGGTAGGAACCTCCTGGTTACACCAGCCCACAGGGGATTATTGTGTCCGTCCGTCCGTCGTGCATCCAAAAATGGGAGGGGTGGGGCTGGGTGGGGAGGGGAGGGTAGGGAGGGTGGGGAGGGGCTGGGTAGGGAGGGTGGAGAGGGTGGGGGGTGGGAGGGAGGGAGGGGAGGGGCTGGGTGGGGGAGGGGCTGGTCACCCCGTGGTGCCCTTATAAAACTCAACGTTTAACCTCCTCACGCCGGCTTGTGCCCGCCCTCACAGTCGGGCATATTTGCGGAATACACCACGCCGCCGTTGACCCTGGCCATTGACCGAGCAACCCGACGTTCCTACCAGCTCCCTCCGCAGGAATGTGTTTTATTTTGTACCTACGTGACTTTACCGAAAGAACCAACTAGTATAGGGCCACGTTTGTTGACATGTTCACCGCAAAATGCTGCGATTGATTAGTTCACTACTTGATTTCTTGCAAAAAAATATTCATATTTGTTGTTCGGACATCTTGAACACCTCCCGTTGTATTGATACCGGCAAAGGATGTCATCCCGTGACACGTCGTGCACAACTTCAAATGAAGTCGCTTTGTAGGAAGTCAACTTGGGTGAGAAGCAGCTTACACAATTATTTTATCAAATAAACAAATAAATACAACGCATGCAGCGGCGTGGAATGGCTGCAAGCCTTAAGATGTTTTAAATGGGCAAGGACCCGTTTGGATATCACCACTCGCCTAGTCGATGTTGTCGCCGCAGTCGGGAGTCAAACTCAGGTGGCCGGGTCTCTAGCGCGGTGCGCTAACCACTGCACCACCGCTCGCCCAATCTCCTCTGCCCTCTTCTTCCCTTCAACCCACGCCCCCCCCCCCCCCCCCAATATTTATATGTATACATATATGTACATAAACGTAAATATACAGGGTATATATATAATATACTTTATGAAATCAAAGTGCACAGGTGGTTGTTTGCAATCGGAAAGTAATCCTCGTTAATCAATCGACAGTGTTATTTGACAATATCGTTTAGAGTATAATTATTATTATTTATATTTATTGAGATAATATATGCAACACAATACGAGGTGAGAGAGAGAGGCAAGAGGAGTACAATATATAACCTTTTGGGAAGATACTTTGCGTGGATAAACATCCTTCCCGATTTTCCGATATCAATTAATTTTTTAAAGATTTAAAATCGAATACATTTCATAAACTCGGCTGGTCTGTTTCGATTTAAAGCTTCTTTCGTGACTGCAGGGATTCATCTTCTTGGTTCTTCGGTAAAGTCACGTAGAAGGGAAATAATAAAAGAATAAAAATAAAACATTAAAAAAATTAATAACATTTTAATTTATTGTGTTTAATTTGTATTATATTATTATTAAAATAACATTATTTTTATTATGTTTTAGTTTTATTATTATATTATTTCCCTTCTACGTGACTTTACCGAAAGAACCAAGAAGATCGGTTGGTCTGGTGAAAAATGTTTCAGGACCATCCCAGATGGGAAGGGGTGAGAATTAGAAATAAGTATAACCCGTAAAAACAAAGTTTTCACTATAAATCCTTTATATGCGTGGCGGCTAGAGTCATCTCGTCCTCTGGCTTGAGATGGCTGCCACCTATGGGTCAGATGATTGTCTGCAGTATTAAACAATTGGTAATTAAATATTTAATTAGTTTTCCCTAAACAGTGTAAACATTTTTTTTTCACGAACATTAATTGTCTCGCACAACGAGTCTGTGTGCAAAATGTCAGCTCGATTGGATCACGGGAAGTGGGTTAAAAAACGACCGAAAGGTTTGTACGGTCGTAAGCAAGCAAGCACGCAAGCAAGCAAGCAAGCGAACTTAATATAAAGGATTTTAAAAAAACAAGTTAATTCGGATGGTTCCGATAATTTGACGTCACACACTGTGTCACCGGTTGGTTATTGTTGTTGTGCTTACACAAAAAATGATGTCACGTGGCATCGGCTGACGTCACTATCGTTATCTCTCTAAATCAGCCTAACCCTCCCGTAAACCACGTGGCCTCTGTGTGATGTCACCCCCACCCTGAACCCCTCTCACCTACAGATCTCTGCCTCTCTCAATCCAAATCATCAACTCAAGAAGTCCCGAATCATTCCAAAATCATTCCGAATACGTGGGCCACAATTCTCTTTGGAATAAAATACGCGGAAAAAAAAAACTGAAACGCCACGTCGTTGTTTCGGGACGATGATGTCCAGACGTTTCGCCCTCGCTCCTCATGCCGCGGGAACTTCTTAGGTCGGTTAAAGCCTTCCTGACTTCGTAAGGCAGGCGCGTGCAGCGCAAGCGTCGGACATCACGGAGGGAGTCTAACCGCGTTCGTTCGTTCGTTCGTTCGCTGAAAGGTGGAAACACCTTGTTTGATTTGTCCGTTATCTGAGTTCGCGATTTTATGCAATCACGTTGCGAGCGTGGTCAATTAGCGAGGCAGCAATATTCGTCGTGGACTGTCCAGACTCTTGGTGGTTCTGAATTTGAAGAATTATTCCATGCAACAAAAATAAAAAAAAATAAACTTAAATTATGGCTAAGAATTGTGGTGTTTTGCGCGCGTGTGTGTGTGTCTGCGCTACGAGCCTGGCGACCCGGGTTCGATACCTGCTCGCGGCAAACACCCATTGACGATTATCTGAACCGGTCCTGGGTCTCCCCTACGTCGACTCAGCCTCAAATGAGTACCTGGTGCGGTGTGTAAACATCGCCACTGGGGAGACAAAGGCGGTCGGGCGTGGTGCTGGCCACCCACCCCCTCGTGTACCGTTCTGGCCTTCATAGGTGCTCGCTA